CGTTGGTGTAGTGCAAGAGTAATCGCTGTTTATTTTGTATAGTTTATTCAGAGATCTTCGTCAAAGTTACCAACTTAAAAAAGAATGGCTGATCCAGTAAATCGGGCTTCAGAGATGATTCTTTCTCGAAAGTTTAAGACGTAACCACTCGCTCCAGCATGGCAAAGCAAACTCGATTACCCCTTCAAAAAGAAACAACTTTAGGCGAGAACTGCATGGCTGATCGTCAGACAAATACAGTACCAGCCAATCAAGTGATGGTTATAGAAATAAGAAAACCCGCAGAAGATGTTTACGGTATCAAGATTTCAGGTGCTGCTTTGGTTAAAATCGACTCGGCCGAAATGAAGTTCTTAACAGGACAGAGCCCTAAGACTGTTAACAGTTCGTCAGATGAAGAAGAGGAATTTGGCCGAGAGATCGAAACAACAAGGAATAGAAGGCCAAGGTTACCGCATCTGAAAGACAAAAAACTATGTACAGGCACTAGAATCATTTACATTCTTCCGATTGAAATGCCAGTTGTACCGAAACGGGGATGTCTGATTTCTTCATGGTATATTCGTCTCATAGCAAAGCTGAAAGATCTACAAGATAAAGGAGATTTTGAGGGACATGAGCAACTGATACAAAAACAATTAGCCGAAAGATCGGCTAAAAACACAGACTTGCAAGCAAGTTTACTGATCGAGCGTGCAGTTGCACTGTATATGCAAAACTATGTTAAAGACGCCAAGAAAATTGCTAAAGATGTCTTGGCTCTGGAGAAACGAATGCGTAATCCTGAAGTTCTGACAGCACGAGCTTTGAACCTTCTGACATCGATCTACAAAACTCAAACGGAATTCGGAAATGCACAAACGTGCGTGCAAAAGGCTACAACAGCTCTTAAGTATCACGACTCGCCTGTTGATAGAGCAGAGCTGTATCAAAGCTATGGGGGCTTGATCAGCTCTCTGCTAACCGTAGGAAGTTACGGTCTTGAACTGAAGGAGGAAGCCTACAATTCTTATAAAATAGCACTGGACTGTGCAACTGATCCTGTTGACAAGGAGTACATAACTGTCAAGATGGCAAAGTTATTACTTGGAAACGATGAATTCGTTAGCGAGGACGATGTTGTACAAGCGAAGAAGCACCTTGACTCCATTGAATTCGGAGCAGAAGCTGATAACATGGCGGTGGGGACAAAAATCAATCTGCTTCTTTTGCGTTCCGATCAGTTTCGCTTCGAAGGAAACGATGCCATGGCAATGGAGAAAGCGGAAGAGGCGCGTACGCTTGTCAAAATATATGATGGTTTTGAACGTCAACTTGCTTCAGCTGAGAAACGAATTCATCGCCTCTCAGCCGCTGTTAGTCCAGAAAGAGGATCATTGAAAGGGGTCGTTAGCGATAAATCTAGCAGTGAATGACTTATTACGGAACCCATTACATCCTGACATCAGCATGCATATTCCCCATGCTCTTCTCTATCAGGAGCCCATTGCTTAGAGCGTTCAACTGCCCTTTGTTTATGTCACGGTGTTTTCACAGACAAGGCTATTTTTAGTTTGAATTTACCGCGAAATAGGATTCCGGACAGAGACCCTTTGTTTATGTCACGGTATTTTCATAGACAAGTCTATTTTTAGTTTGAATTTACAGCGAAATGGGATTCCCGACGGAAGCCCTTCGACTAAAACTATGTGAGCTGGAGTAGCCTATTTCTGGAGAAAAAATAGTCTTGAGATGAA